AGGGCGTCCTGGTATCAGGGTGAAGATCGAATCGCAGGTGGCTGAAGTGCTTGATATGGTGCCAGGTGCAAGTAGAGCGAAAGGTTTTTTGTTGTTTTAAATGGTGGTAAACTTTTCAAGAGTTGGCTGTAAGAGAAGCCAACATTACATTGCCATTAAACACCTCTGTTTCCATCCAAGGTTACCAATGGCATTTTCAGATGCGGTGTCAACATAAACCATTACTGTTACTTTTTGTCAGCAATGTCACGAATTATTTATTGCACAATTGAATCGCCAACGCGCCTCGGATTCATCCAACTTCCTAGATTGAAATGTATTTTAGACGCCATTGCTCGTCACTTCCTGTCACTTTCTTGTCAGTACGAATGTCTGTATCCTGTACTACTATTAGCGTAATTTCCCTAGTCTTACCGTTGTTGGGACTACTGCGATGAGAAAGTTAGGTATCAAACACACATGCACGTCCGTGTGTGCACAGTCCTTGACCCTATGGGGTCAACACGAGGGCGTTAAAACAGCTGCTCCTCCATCGACACAGGCTTTTTGTCAAATATTTACCGTAATGACTCTCCTTTTTTGTTTTAGGAGAGTGTCAAGCAGGCCTATAAAAAAACCAAAGAGTCAAAGTAAGTCAATCCCTGCCTATCCATCTACTCCCATTTCTGTGAACAAAATGAAGTCTTACAAACAGAGTCACTCGTGCATGCGGAAAGTACCAGTTCTGAGGATAACGTTACTAGATTGTGGTTTTGTTTTAAGGTACCAGTCTGCCCCAAGTACTCTTATTATCTATCAGTGCGACTGAATGAAAATCAGAATTTCCTTAAATTTGGTAGATTTTGACAGGCTGGTTTATTTCATGCCCTTGTGTGATATGTTGGGATCGTTCGAAGAACTTACCTTCCTCAGCAGGTAATCAAACCACTTTGTCCGGTTTTCGGTTTGTCTTGTTACAATGCCTCGTCGTGAAGTGAAGGCATTCTACGCATTTGGGGTTGCTAACCGATTGACCGACTTGTGACACGTGATAGCGAAAGAACGAAGATATTATTGGTTATTCTCAAATGATGCACCCACTACCCTACTGCTAAATGTCCCTTTTGGACTTCTGAGGCATGAATCACTTCATTTCCGTAAGGCAACATTGTGTGTGTGTGGCGCATTATAAATGGAATTGCTCACTGTGAAGTGTTCACTTGGTGGAGGCCGAAAACTTCAGGCTCGAGATTCATTTACTCGATGTGATGCGAGGTGACACAGCTGGAAGGTGGTTGATGATCGCTTTTTGTTGCGAAGACGCTAGGGCTAGGGAATCGCATTGTTGCTCCTATCAGGCAACGCAAGATGTCGCACAAAGCTAAGCTATGGAGAGGATTGCGCTTTGGGATGGGCCGTCGAGGGGAGGAGGTACTAAGTCACGTCATCATCTGCAATGTTTGAGTGGTTAATTCACCGCTTGATGAGTCGCGCCTCTTGTTGGGAGGCTTGAAGCAGTAACCTGGAAAATTGACAAGTTGGGGATGGGGAAGGTGAAAGCAGAGGTAACTAGGAGTGGGCTGTTGTCTTCAAGTGAGGAAAGGTTTTATAAAAGTGTAATTAGTGGCATGTTTGTGTTTATGGCTGATAAATGCATCCTTATTTCCTGATTTTGCCAATCGCTCCTTGGCTTTGCAATTGCAGTCCGATGTGGATAGTGCACACCCCTTTTGTCGGTGAATGCGGTTTTATTTCAGTGGGCTTTCCAAGTGTCACCATTGTCTTTGCGCCCCCTTTTTACCTCAAATGATGCTCCCTGATTCTCAGCATTGACAAAATTTGGACAAAGCCGTCTAGGTATTATGACCTTGACTCCATCTTAGCTTAATCTACTCTTCGAATCTGTCAAAATTAGTTGAAAGGAAGTGACTCATTGCCGCTGCACTTTAATGCAGCATTTACTTCGAAGTCTGGTACAAAACGGACGTTTGAGCTGCAATTCGAATTTTTACATCTACTTTTATACGCGCGTCGTTAGGAAAAGTGGTACCATAAGTTAACTCAGTTGAGGGATCTGGGCAGCATTTAGGGATGGTCGCTCTTAGGCAGGTCGTTATTCCTGCTTTCCTAATACACATCTTTTTCCAAAAGCTCAAAATCGCACTTCGGTTCGAGGATGGAGCATAGGAACTAGCTCTTGCCAGTTTAAATTACAATCCTCCCTTCAGAAGGAAGGAAATGCCAGATGAATTAGATCATTCTTTTCAGACCAACTGGTTATCAGTTTGTTGGGTCAACTAAGTGGCCATTTAGAGGATAGGAAAGATGTCGCTGGTGCATTGGATTGGCAAAGAATTAGAAAATGAAAGCTTCCTGGGAAAGTTGTGGTGCCCCTCTCTCTTTCCATTCCTCCTTTTAAAGCACCGTGTAAAAGGTGAGTCCAACCTGGGAGTGAAGCCTTGTCAGCGTGACTTTCCTATTCATCCTAGCTTGCGCGAAGGCTTATTAACACGAGAGAGATTACCCTTTTCGGGTAAATTAGTAACCTTCCGTTTGCCCAAGCTAGGGGATTAACGAGAAGAGTGTGAGAAAATGCACTCTGCACCAGTCACAATCTGCCTCGTTTCGGAAGTGGAATGAGCACTGCCTCGATAAAAAAACAGAGCGATTGGAGTAAATAATGAAAAAAAAATAAATTGTCCGCGTGGATTCCTTTCTCTGCAACTGTGGGCTACTATCGAAACCGATGCCTGAAATGCTTGTCTTTTTGGGATCCATGAATGAGTAGATTAGTAGGCTCAAAACCTTGAAAACGTGACATTACAACGAAATATTGCTGTATCGAAAGGAAGTGCAGTTAAATCGGGAAGTGCCTCATTCACTAGTGGAGTTTTCCTTATACAATATGAGCGTATGATTGGTAGGCTGGAACTAGAGTTAATTACCTTTTGGAGGCATCGAAAACCGTGCTTCACTGTGAATAAACAACATTAGTGATGTTACCGCCACTATGCAATTGGTCTCAGCTCATCAGAAATGCACTTACGCCTGTACAAGTGTTTTGGTACTACTTACTATCCTACGGCATTTGCATGTGCAATTTCCAAACCGAGCATTCTTGGATGCGAACACGTGTGTGGAAGCGCTCAAGTTTGCAACCGGAGTCATCCCATTTATTTTTCTGTTATCATTTTTGTAGCTGGTATCCTTGTTTTGACAGGCGGATAAAGAATCTTGATTTAGGCTAAAACACTTCAGCCCTGGTTTGGAGTGCGATTTTATGAGCATGGTGAGGGAAAATGAAGAACAGGATCTTGAAATGTCTCAAATGGAAGGAGGGGTCTCGCCTCCTGTCCTACATCAACCTGGCGGTCAGATCGCTTTACACTGCCCATACTTTGTAGTTTTTAGACTTTTTAAGGAGAAGATGAAGTTAATGAAATTAAGGCGGCTATTAAAAATTCATAAAATGTATTCAAAACTAAATATGAGTTTTAATATCAGATTCACCTTTTCATTATGCTCCTCTTTGATGGTCTCTGTCCTCAACGGTTATCCCTTGTATTGATTTGGTGTGATATAGCCAATTAGATTAGTTGTTTATAACAAAGTGTTCATGTCCTTGATATGCAGTCCTTCTCTACTTTGTCTCCGGTTTCGAAAGCGTTAAACTCCATGCGAAGCATTGAGGACTTTATCGACAGTTGATCCCCGCGGATACATTCACAAGCATAATTACTTTGGCGTATCTGCAGTTGATCTTTCTGGCTTTACTTCGTGCTTTTAATTGTAATGAAGCATTCATCTGCGGTTTTGCGCTCCAGATTAGAATATGTACACATTTACTATCAGTAGGAGTCCTCAATTCTCTTCTCCCTTCGCCCTCTCTACAGAGCGACGGCTTTGAAGACGGAGGCGGGGTCGGTCACAATGGCCGCAGCATCAGCAGCAGCGGCGCAGACGGATTGGCCGTTGAACAGCATGTGCGTGCGTCTCCTGGCTGATCTGTGGGACTGTCGTTGGGAGACTCGTCACGGAGCCGCTTCGGGTCTCCGTGAATTGCTTTCCTTTCCCCAGCACACTCGTCAAGCTGGTGGCAGAAATGGCGCCTCTGAGGAAGAGGTTAGTTTTTCCTCTATTTATTGACTTTTGCTGGTCCAAGCTGCAAGATTTCATGGTTTTCCAATCCAGGTTAATTAACTTTTATTAAGTCGTCATCTCATGATTTTAACCACCACCCTGTGTCGGTTGGTTTTAAGGGTTTTTAACGAGGTCTTATTTGATTTTTCGAAGATGCTTAGTCCTGGGTGGTTTGGATTTTCTGTGTTTAAAGGGGAAGTCCAGTAACACTGGATGTTTAAAACAAGTGAGTTGGATGATTTTTTCAGAGTTTTAACCAGGAAAGGTGTGAATAAATAAAGGAATGGTTGTTTAGGTGAATGAATGATTGAATGGATGGACAGACTAGTGTATAGATGAATGGGTGGATGAAGTGATGAGTCGATGGATATAGTTCTGAGGTTGATGAGTGAAAAAAGGGTAGACTGAAAGATGAGTAAATGAATGAATGTACAAATTGTTCATCGGATGTGTGGACACATTGTTAGATAGGTGGGAAATGTAAACTTCGCTGACCTCTTTTCTTCCACGCTATTTCTAGTGCAGTCTTTCTTTCAAAGTCAAATAATTTTTTTTCCAACACCTCTTTTGGTGAATTGCTCCCTTTGTAACGTTTCCGTACAACTAGGGATCATGACATCATCGGTGTCCCGCTGAAGGTCTGCTGTTCGGAGGTCAGACTGTCACCGTAGTTTTTTGCACCTACTAGCAAACCAATACGATTTTTCCTAGCCCGTAAATATTATGCAAACTCTTATGAAACTCTTTTCATGCTACTACATCTTGTGAGGAGTTTTGTAAATTTGATCTTATAATCTTGCGACAATATGCTATATTACACTAGAACTAACGTAATTTGTCAAAAGTGGTCCTGAAGCTGATGGCTTCGTTAAATACCGCTAAATTAATCTTGTAGACACGTATCTCTCCCATTGGGTGCTTCGAAGTGACGAAATATGACATCTGGGTACTGTCTTAAAAACTCAGTGTTTGCGTCTTTCGATCCTTTTACGTAATTCTCTTACCACAGAGGAAGTCGTTCGGGATTGGGAATTAGTAGTAGCCCATTTATGAGGGAGATACTATAACACAATCATTATGAACAGAATACGCCTTTTCCCTGCCTGCGTCAAACCCGGATTTTCTGTGGTACAGCTGAAGGAAGCGATGTAGTTCAGGTGAAACACACCACAAAAATTCTTAAGTGGCCTGACTCAAACAGGTTTAACACCTAGAAATGACTCACGCCAATAAAGTAAACAAAGCTATAATGGTCTTTGACGCAGACACAAAATTGTTGCAATGGCGAAGGCGCAAGACTCTTCAACTGAACTAAGTTATTACCTTTTTCATACAAAAATATGCCTTTCCTTTCATTCCTTTCCTTTTTTGACTTTTCAGAATCGAACTGCCAATCGTGTTTACCTTGAAGACGTAGTTGTGCGTGTTCTCTGCACCCTTGCGCTGGACCAGTTTTCAGATTTTGCCTGCGATATGGTGAGTTCTTCCTCATATTCTTGAAAAAAGTATTTTTTCGCCTTGTCCGGAGGTCAAACTTACTTCCCTCTCGCCTGTAGGGGGATGTCAGTTGAATCAAAAGACCTGATTCAAGGTCTTGTTAAAATTTCGTTAATTCCACCTATGCTGCTGGCCTTCCCACCCCTCTCTGTGCTTACTAATAAGGCCATACGTGGACGTCTTTGGTGACAAATTGGACGCCAAACAAACCACTATGCTCAATACCTTTTGTTTCCTGCGTATGATATTGACAGTTTAAACCGATGCTAGGGCATTCCGATGGGCAACTGGTTACTGTGGAAGGGCATCTTTTGCGATTGACTAAGCTCACAGAGCTCCATAGTGGAAGGTTTGTAGAAATCGCATGGACTTTTTATAGCCATCTACTCTTTAATTTTTGTAGAATGATTAGCAGTGGGACCATATCCCAATTAAATGTGACTAACTTGTCCGTAGTGTTTATAATAATCCTGCGAACAGAGGCGAATGATGGGTGAAATCGAAAGACTTAGCATTTTTGAAAATGATTAAGGTAAATATCTGTTCAGCACAAAATCACTAATTAAAGGCCAAGGGAAGTGAATTTGGGAGGAATTCCAAGGAAGGCTGCGCAGTACTGCGGATTTTTTAAGTAGACTTCACTTTTAGGTAAATGTGCCCTTGAAAAGCAATTGACATGAGAAATGTGTCATATGAAATGGAGTAGCGACCGAGTTTGATCATCTCGACGCTCGTAGTGCAGTTCGCTTGTGAGCATTTAATTACTGTTTCATCGACTAGTCTGATCAGTACAAGTTCACAGAGAATGAGATGGTTTAGCCTTTCATGCTCAAGTTTTCTTTGAGGGAAGCATAGTTGCATATTCGAAAATACAAACCCTCTGACTTTACTTGTATCCGAAGGTGTATTTGAGTGTAGCCTAGAGAGTACCTGCTAACCTTCTATTTCGAGAACGCAAACCTACGTGTTGGAGCCGTTTTCCACAATCTGCAAGCCATACCTCCTCAGAGAACTTTCCCTAGAGTGCCTGATTTCTGGTTAAAATTTGCGAGATTCCGCTTCGTGCTAACAAATTGTCCGAGTCCCTCCTAAGTACGTTAGCAAATACTCATTTGTCAACTAACGTGTAGTGAGTGTTTGCAGAATGGCTGGTGGGCTGTAGATGGGAAGCGATACAGAAATCGCGTAGTTGAAATATAGCTGCCTAGGCATTGCCTGTGGTCACTCTTCAGTGTTGGTCATTACCACGTAGTCAGTGGTTGTTTCGAAACTACCCACGAACCACGTATGAAAGTGATGCATTTACCTTCCCTCAGAGCAAAAGGATATTTGAGTCGTACATAAGAGCTTGTGTAGTCGAAATGTATGAAGAGCATATCGTTCAGTTGACAGGTTAATCCCAAGTTTGGTGAGCAATTGCTCTTCCTCTGATTTGCACCTAGGTGGTGGCCCCTGTTCGTCAGACAGCAGCACAATTACTGGGCGTGCTCTGTCTCCACTTGGATGTGGGACAGGTGCGACTGGTAGTGCAACACCTCCTCTGTCTCGTCTGTCTCCTTCGTCGTCAACGTCAGGAGCCAATGAAGCGTACTCGTACGCCCAAGGTCAACTGGATGGTGGTGCATAGCGGGTTACTGGGACTTAATTACCTTCTTTCTGCTCGAAGTGTAGGTGATATTGTGTCTGTTGTATCGATAAACTTAGTGAAGGTGGTTAATTTCCATCAAGCATACTTAAGTATCAGACCTACATGGGGCGCTGCAGTTGGTGGAGTTTCAAGGATACCACATCCTCCCTCCGACTATTTTGTAGGACCTTGCAACAGATCTCCTGCCTTTAGTCTACGATCCTCTGACAAACGTCCTCTTTCCACGTTACGACAACAGCAACAACGGCAGTGCCGTCATTAAGGGAGGGGCGGAGGTGGAGGCAGGAGAGGAGGATCTTCGCTGTGCCGCATGCAATGCTCTCCTCTCCCTCCCTCGCGATCTTCTCATTGCTCATGCCAACGCCGTGGGCCACCGTCTGGTGCACTGTGTTTGGCGTCTACTTGAACGGGCGGCTGGAGAGCTGTCTCCTATCACAGGACCCTTGCTGACACTTGCTTCGGGGTTGATTGACCATCCTACGCCGTAAGTTGTCAATTTTGTGTGAAATGAATGCCTTCGGACGTGGTTTAGCTTCAGGCGTTGACTTTCTCAATCCCGATGTCTGATTTTGTTATGCAGTTAACATGTGTGCTATGATGTCCTACAGACAACGAGACCATTTATTTGTCTTCCTTCGTAAATTGAAGCCCAGCTGTCAATAAATTTGCACTGTTTTGTGTGTTTTTCATCGTTCTTAAATTTGGTTTGAAGCTGCTATCCGATGGAGCCGTTGCTTTATCAAGTACTCCAATGCTCACCGCGGGTAACTGCTTACTTGCCCTAAATACGTGCCCGTATTCTGCTTTTCTGTGGGCCATAAGGTGCTTGTTGTGCTTTCCTCATTTCTTAGTGATGAAATTGATTGGCCATCCTTTAGTTACTACCAAGGTGGACATTGACTCTTCATGGTGTTGATCTTTTGTGCTTAGGGAAGCCCTCTTAATCGTCTTGCTAGGGTATTTTTCCTTCGGCAAGCGATGTGAAGCTATTCGATCCAACGCTCGCGGTTTGTTTTGAGCTCTTTTTTAATTCTGATTGTTGCTTAGTACTTTATCCTGTACTCTCTTGACCTGATTCGTTGTGGTGTGGATTTAAGAATTCATTTTTCCTTATCAACGACTAAATACCACCCACTTTTGAGGTGGCAAGAGCTTATGCCGGCAATATTACAATCCAAGTCTGCTCGTGTTTGGCTCTCGGCCTGACCTTTAAGCTCCCCTTTCCCTGATTAAGTACTACTTGATCTACTGCGTAATCAATTGCTCCAATAGCCAATAGTAGTGCGACCTTCGCTTGAGTCGTGCCGCCGATTTTCAATTTTATCTTCTCAAACCAGAAGTGGGGCAATGGGATGGTGTATTTGCCCCTTTTATTTGAGGAATTTGAATGTGTAAGTTCAATTAGCATTTAAATTTAAGAAGCTTGAATTCAAATCACTGCACGAAAACACAGTGAAACAGGTATTTCAAATCGTCTAACTTGAATGAAACCAAGACAAAAATGTTTCTTTGTTTAGCTCTCTAGTGGTGAAAAGTGAAAGTAAAAAGGAGGATGGGGACGTGGCGGTGGTAAGCAGTGCTCACGACTCCAAGGCGGTGGAGGAGTTTGCGAGACGTGTTGTTCTGGTCCTCCACTTCGTGCATCACTCCTCTTCTGACATTCGTCGAACTGCCATTCAGACCCTCGATTCCTTGCTATCGTTGCGTCTTCAAAAGGTAGGTATTTGAGTGTCTACTGAATTACTCTTGCCGCCTTCCTTGCTGCACTAATTGTTGAATTGGACTATATCCAGGAAACGGGAACGTGGGAGTCTTGAGCTAAAAAACAGCTTTCAGTGTTGGATTTGTTCTTAATTTCCAAAAGATTTCCCAGACATTTGGGTAAAACTTCCCACTCATAATACATGCTTGGGTGTGCAAAGGCACGCTTCATCTGTGCCCTTTCTAGTGGTTCTACTTGACAAACTGGTTTCAAACTGCTTAATTTTACGATCAAAACTGCGGATTCCGACGCCTCAGTGGACTTGATAAGTTATCACTAGCATGAGATATTCTGCTTTTTTCCTCGTAATATGTAGTTATTGTTTAACAATTTCAACACATCATTCACCTATTGTCGTTAGGAGCCTTCCTCATACGTTCAGTAGCATTGAGAGTGGCTGGTTAGCTCTATCGTTGCTGGGTTTTCTAGACGCATTCAAGGCAAAGTAGCTGTAAGTGTGCATTTGTTTCCTTATCAACGTGCTTGTTGGAAGCCTTCTTTTGCACAGTCTTGAATCGCATTTCTAATGTCGGAAAAGGCATTAGGGATTGAAAGTTTTTTTCCTGTCGCTTCGGCAATACCGCTACCTTTAAATGCTTGCTCCAAATGATGGACTAACCAGTTGATTAGTTGGTTTTTTCAACCTCAAATTTTTCCAGCCACTCCTTTGAGGAATAAGAAACAGCGATCTGCAATTTTCGAGCTCTCACAGCCTTTTGAACTTCCGTTTGCCTCAAACCTCATGCATAATCAGTACGTGAAATTGCAAAGAGGATAAAGTCAAAATCAAGTCAAATGTTAGTATCCCACCGTCTGTCTTCAGATTAGCCATCAGATGGAACCGTCTCTGTTGGAGTGTGTATTTGAACAGCTCTTCCATCGTGCCCTCTTCGAGCCTGACCCCAAGAACATTCGACTCATCAGTGATGTAAGTTATTCTCCAAAAAAGTCTCTCTTTGGCCTTTTCATTCACGGCTGAAGTGCTTAGAAGCTTTACTGATTAAGAGGGTCTATTAGAGGATAGTTGAAGTTTTTATTGGCAACCATTCTTGGTTGCATATCGCTCCCCTCCTTAGTTCGTCTGTTCGTTAGTCCATCAACGAAATTCCGGTCGTACCAGCATCACTAGATCTGCGGTACAAATTAAACACTGAAATATATTTCCAGTTCACTTTGTTACACAAATGCCAAAGTGGCGGCGTGAAACCATTGAGTTATGAATGGAGCCTACACTTCGCCCATCCTCTTTTCAACCCAACTTTGAACTTTCAGTCACCTAAATCGGGAATTTCGTTGCTGGCGTTAGGCCGTAGTCCTGCATTTTTCACATTTACCCTGTCGAACCTAAAAACCCGTCCTCGTTCGCAGTTTAATGCACCTGACCATCAGTCTAAAATGTGTAATAAATTAACAGCCTGACTGTCTTCTTGAGGTCTAGTCGCAAAACCGTATATCAAAAGTTCTGCAACCTAAAATGGTAGTGATTTGAGTCGCCTAACTTTTGAATGAGTCTTCGGAAATAGGAATTCGTTAAGTTTATTTTGAACATTGACTTGCTGCTTCAACCGTAACGTAGTCTTGTCACCAGTTCTCTAGATCTGTCAATGGCTCCTCATTTCAAATCTATTTCTATATTTGCCACTACAACTCCCAATCCTGGAACTTCTGAACCCACTAACATTACACTTGTGCACCTCTTTCTCCCGCCATCCTAAGCTTTGGCAAAGATTGGCCGGTGCGGTGCCAGTTGGACTGCTGGCACAAGCCACTCTCAATCGCGTGGACTTTTGGCTCTGTCAGGCCATGCAACCCACTTCCATGCCCTTTGCCGACACTATGCTGCGTCTCCTAACTTCCACCACCAACCACGTAGGTTATTTTTTGCTGAAAAAGTCCTATTTGGGTGTGTTTTAGCGGTCAAAAGCGACCACTTTTATGGCTACCTTCGGTCTAATAGGTTAATTAGACACCTCTCACTGTTTGGAAGTGTCTCACGCATTTATTTAGCACATTTTTGGGTTCAATCAGATCATTTGAGAATATTCCACTGCAGGAAAATCCAATTTTTTGACTCATTTTGGGAAAAATCTTTTTTAGTGTTTTTAGATGTCAGCCTAGTTTAGATAATCTTTTGTCTTCTGGCAACGGAACTATCTTGAAGCATTTAGTTTAAGCCTTACCTACACCAATGGTATTGCCATTAGTGCGTGGGGTCGAAGTGTATTTGGCCTTTATGCTTGGAAAGGATATGATCCGAGATGCCTCCGTGGTTTCACACTCACAGGAGACAATTGATTTCAGCAGAATGTGAAGTTCGTCTAACCCGCCTAAGTGATAAGCCAGATTGTGTAGAATTGCCATTTCCGTGAAATATTGCAAAGATGTCCTTTGAGCAAAACAGGCAATGTTGATTCAGTCAATTTTGAAGCTAACCTCAAAACATTAATCAGGTTAGCCATGTCAAGTCACCACTTTATGGGGCTAAAGTGATCTGAATTCGGGTAAACGAGTGGTGCGATAGCGACACGATCGAATGGTTTGAAAGGGCACCTGAACCACAACAATTGTTATTCGTAGGCGTCGGTACGTATTTAACAACTTTAAATGTACGACTTCACAGAAACCACTTAGTGTATTCAGTCTTGTTTACGATGCATCAGGCTATCTTGCGTAAACCAACTAAAAGACGTTGATTCAATGAATTTGCATGAGAAGAGCTTTCATTGTTGGATTAGAGGATCAATGTTGGTAATTGTGTAATAAAATGGAGGCAAGCTAATCATACAGAGGATCACAGAAACGAGGGTTACTAACTTTCTGTTGGTTACTGATCACGGAATAGGCCGTGCTGTGGTGGTACATGCAGATTGCTGGGAAGCTGGGTGTGTACCTTTTACTCCTCTGTTGCATAAACTGCGCCTAAGTAACCGTTGTGAGAAGGGGATAAGGTTGTTGCCGTGGCGATGGTTTGTTTATTTCGTTGTTCATTTGGTTGTCTTGCCTTTCGGTGAAAACATGAAGGAGACGACTCAGACCTACTACATCGGTGGTTATGAGTTGGGCGCCACTAGCGAACGCGTGCGGCAAAGTTTGGCCCTGGAGACGCGCATCACTGCCACAGTGTGAGTACTTCACTTTTCATTTCATTTCCTCCTTTTCTGGACTGTCGATTTTGTGTTTTTCATGGCGGTGATCTGTTTGCATGAGCCTTTCATGGATGGGATTTCGGAGTAGAATCGCTGCGAATTAGATTATTTTTGGACGCTTAAATTTCCAGCATTTATTTTCTCATGTAGCAACGCTTAAAACTGTTTAGCTGATATGAGGCACCTTTACCAAATAGCGTAATTATCAAGTAACCCATGAAAACTTGACTAGTAACTCGTTTAATCCTATTTGTTATTCCTAAGAAGTAGTGTGGCTTGGTGATACAGATGAAGGCTAGCTATTCCATCGGTCACATTACGTTAGACACTACTGCTCGCTGTCCTTGACGGATTACTTTTCTAATCATTTTAATCGACAACATTGCGTGTAAATCTGGCATTTTTTATAGAAAAGAAGCTGACAGAGGATTCCACGCTGTTGGTTATTGGCTGCATGCATCTTGCATGAAATGTATACTTCTTTTTGATAATGTGTACTTTTTGCAAGGTCAAAGTAGGCCAGCGCATCAGCTTTCTAGCTATCAGTGTGCGCTTTTTTACCCAAGAAGTTGTGGTTTATTATGCAAAGTCAAATTTTTTGGACGACAAAAGCATACCGACGATTCCCTGTTCAAAGTAAAGTGATCGGAGCAGGCATTTCGTGAAGTTGTTCGTATCGCAGGATATGAGCGCAACGGTGTTAGATTTCGAGCTGATATTTTCTAGATATGTGGATCCGATAAATTACATCTTTGATATCCGGTAGTCCTCCAGGTCCCCTCTTAGTGAGTTTATTGTGCAAATCTCGGAGTCGATTGAAGACTCGAGGAAATGTGGGCAGATGTTCACCCACCCTTCCTGAATTTTATCAGTTCCCAAAACTGGTCTACTTATTCAATCGTCTTCCTCGAATTTATGTGGTTATCAGGTGGATGGACTGGCGTCTGCCACCGTATCCTAAATGCCTTCCTCTTTGAGCGTAGATGAGCAAAGAGAAATTTCATTTGGATATACCGTTTTCCTGTTTGTCGGCTTTCCTGTCAATGAAATGTCCCTCTCCTTAGGTATGTATTTTAGGAGCTTGAAAAAGCTTTTGCATCTCCTTTTTGTGAATGGGCTTCGAATATATCCTCAAAGCACTCATTTCCAATTTTTCCAGACTGCTGGCGAGTCTAAGCAGCCGGTTGTGTGAAAGCAGGCTTCCCACGATCGTAGCACCTCCCCCCACCACTGGTACGACGGACTCTGCTTCGACGGAAGGAGGTGGGGCCGGAGACAGCGGTATCCCCTGTGGGGAGATGTCCATAGGCAGCTACCTGTTAGAACACGTAGTGGGCGGCACGCATTTGCGGGACCGTCTGGGCATGCAGCGCTTTATTGGCAGTCTCCTGCTCGCCGCATGGCCTCCTGCCGCCATCTCTAGCGCCACTGCTACCATCGGCGGTGGTGCCAATAGCGAGTTGCCGAGTCGGTTGAATAGCTGTCTCACGAATGTGGTCTACTACGAGGAGATACTAGGTGAGGTTGTCTTCCCGTCTGACCTTCCCTTTGCTTGTTTGCTCATCTATCTGTCCGTCCATATGCAAAGGGTTTAAATTAACCCGTTCACTCATCCTGCTATTTATCTACCCACCCACTTAGTACCTCCTCTGGGCAGCCTATTTTTCATCCCTCAAATAGTCCACCTTTTCGCCCATCTAGTCTCTTATAACTGCATTATTTCTTGTTATCCATCTATCCTTTCATTCACTCCATGTTCAGCACATTCAGCTTCTCAGTCATTCATTCCCTTTCTTTGTTTACCCATTCATTCATCTATTTATCCGTCCATATTTCCAACCTCCAATCTGTTAGTTCAGTCAGCTGTTTGTTCACTTGAACATCCATTTCCCCGTCCTTTCCTCTGTTTATTTGTTTATACCTCGTTTGCATTCCCCCATCCATTTATTTTCTTGTCCATCTCTCACCCCATCCCCCTCCCAATGGCTTCACGTTTGCTCGTTAGGCTGCAGTTATTCGCATATTTGTTTGTTTCGTCCACTTCATTTGGAATAGCCGGATCCAAACAGATTATTATTACACAGTTGGGGCTTGAAGCGTTGGTCTATTTTTGTCAACCCATTTATGACTGGCCATTTTCAAAATATATAACTGGGTATTATCTGCCCATTAGTATGTAGTCTTGTGGTTCACCTACCCCTATTTAGCCGACTATTACTTTGAGAGTCATTATGGTAACACATATGATTTGGCTGTATTTGTTGATGCGTCCATCAACAAGTGAGCTTCGAGCAGCATCAATTCATCCATCAATTCCCCATTTAGGCGTTTGTGTTGACCTCTACCGGTCCACTTTCCACCTACCTCTACTTTGTCTGGTTCCTCCATTTCGCTTATTCTGTCCACTTCCGTTTTCCAGTCGCATTTTGATATTTCAATTCCACCACTTAAAGCAATTATCTATCCATATGTAAATCCACTTGTCTGTCCACGTCAACTATGAAGCTTTTAGGATAAATAAGCAACTTCCGACAGAAAAAAATAACCACTTAGCAATTGTGGAAAATTCCAAGGTCTAGACAACTCAAGACAGATATAGGGAGAGGTGGATAGATAGAGAAGAGGTATAGCTGAAGAGAGTCCATTTTATTGACCAAAAGCGGCCAATCATTATGAGTGCCCTCGAAAGCCTGATCAAATCTCAGCAGGTCCCTCTGTAAATACGTAATTCTACTATTACTTGATAGTAGTATTTGTTTCGTCTTTCTCCTTCCAACTGTCTACGTCAAAATGACAACCTTTACTGCACTTCTTTTGCAGGCGTCTTCAAGACAATGCACGAAGATTGTCATCGACTGAGGGCTCTTTGTGAGACTACAAGACTACCAATTAATACGGAATCTCCAAAAGCGTGAGTACTTCTATTTGTTTTGCATTTTACCGCATTAAAGCATTCCCAAAGATGGACTACCGCAATGCTGTGCTTCAGTCCCTTCTGGAAGTAGATACTCTCATCTGCAATGCTTCTGCTTATGCCTACGAGTCTAGTCAATTCGAACGTTCTACCTTGTGTTTGCACTTAAACTTATCAGACTCGTGTTTTGACTGAACTTCGGTATTTGATATGGGAGTGAATTTTTGACACCGTTTTAGCGGTCGCATGGAATGTTAACTTGATACTGTTACCGAATTCTTCCCGTTTTCAAATGTAGGTATAATGCACGTAGCTTCGGAAAACTGGGTTCATCATAGTCCCTAACGTGGTCCTTATTCATGATGGTCTTTATGTTTTTAATCGAGGGTATTAACAAGTCAACAACCTTATTTTTAACTCTGCTACATATACATTAGCGATTTCAGGGGTTTGGGTCAGAAGATGTAGTCATCATAATTTTTGGTCATGTACACCTCTCCTCAGTAGTTCCCCAGATCCTGTATCTGAAGACGTTTGAATGTAGACCACCGAATTCTAATTCTGAGATCTGACGTCTGACACAACAAGCTGACTCGCATTGGTTCACACGAAATTCCAACAAAGTTCTTTAAGGGTTTTTCGATCTTGCTAGATAAGTTTGAAGCCTTTGGTGGTAATCATTAACCGAAAATACTTTGCTATTTGGGCACTGAAGACACTTTTTCGAAAGAGTCTGGGAGTGCTTTATCATAAAACTCGGGAATGTAAGAAGGCTGAGACCCCAAGAAGACTGTAATTGGTAGCTTAGGTGATGGGCCTCTTAATATCACCTATTGGATGCTTCCCTCGGCGTCCCTATTTTCCGTACTTCGCAACGGTATAGATGAAACTCATCGAAACTTTGTGCACAAGACACGAATGGGGTTGGTGTGATGAACTCGAATCATAGCAGGAAGACTTTCAACTTCGTTTGAGCAATGCTTTTTGGAAAGAAAAGCATAATTTGCCACACGATATAAGCCATCACAAGTTCTTCTGTCTTGTGTATTTAATGGAGGGTGTAATTTTGTTGTCAAGTAAAAGGAGATTCATGACATCGGTGAGACTGAATGCTATCTCTCATTCTATAGCGGTGGAAGCGTCATGAATTTGGTGGAGTGCCAAACACTGTTACAGCGAGTTGGCGCTGAATTGCCCGTGTATAGTCCTGCTTCCACCTCCGCCGACGCCAACATGGTTAAACTGACGAAGTTGGAGTTTGAGGAGCTGCAACGTGCACTGCAAAAGGCACAACTCTCTGTCAGTCGGTGCCTTGCTTTACAGCTTTTCTGGAGTTCGCGGTGAGTCTCAATTCTTCTCTGGTTGCAAGACACCCTCACATTGGTTAATCCACTCATGATCCATCAATCCATACATTTTTCAATTTGTCACTCATCTGTCGTCAAATCTATCGACAACAACATCATTGGTTGCCTCCAGTTGCACTCCTCTGTTCATTTGCGAATCCTCCACAGCGGATTCATTCAGTTAGCCCAATCACTCATACATGCATTCCTGAATCCACTCATCCACACTTCGCCCATCATGCCATCTACCCATTGAGCTATCAATCCACCTGTTTCCTGTTTCTCCGGTTGAGGGCAGGAGTACTGTCTCGTTCCAACCCTCCTTGTGCCTCTTATAATGCTTCCTCAAGGGTTAAGGCGATTATCACTTCATCTTGCTGGTATCAGACAATCGCATAATCGTATGAAGCAGAATAAACAGGTCGAAAATACAAGTGAGGTGGCACTAGCGATCTCTTGGAGTATGTCGTTTATATCTTGAGATAAGACTTGTCGCAGACATGCGTAGAAGATTGTAATAGTGGTCGCATCAATTAGCAAAGAATCTCCTTAGGCTTACTGGTAAAAAAGTTAGTTTATTTGCCTGCCTTAGAAGTGGCAAATGCCATTTTCCGTCACCGTTGCCTCCTTTTCATAACTTACAAGTAATAACACCACCCAATTACAGGTTGGTATGGTGAGAGATCGCTTACTTCTTGTCTTCCTTCCTTTCCAGGGTGGAACTCTCCTTGTCGTCGGCTCTAGTGAACTTTGGTTGGGTCACACCCGGCCGTCTGACTCCTCTCATACGTCCTTTTATGGATACGATTCGTGGGACCACTGCCAATATCACCGTCGGACAACCTCTGAATGACTTTGACTTGCCGCAGCCCAGTGAGAACTTGCGTCTTCAACGCCTTGCAGCATGGAACCTTGCTCGCCTCCTTTGGAGTGAGTTTTGCCAACAGGTGTCCAGTCCGAGGTCTTCTACGCCGACGTTGGCAACTTCAAAGGCCTTGGCCAAGGTGACGCAGAACTTGACCAAATACATACTGCCGGATGAATTTGCTGAGTGGGGTGAGTTGACTGTTACACGAGGTTACGATCTGGTCAAATTCCATTAATTGAGTTGAAAAGTTCAGTTAGCTTTTTGTGTACATCGATGACACCTGTAGTTTGACGCTAAAAGGGATGAGTTTTGTTGTATGCCGATGCCTCTTTTTAACCATTGACGCTACAAACGTTATAGTCTGGCAGACTGTTGTTTCGAAATTATAGTGGCTTCCTTTTTGGTGCTAAATTGGCAAGAGGTTGGTGTGGTGGCAACAGTAGGGTAGTTGTTGTATACTCCCGAAGCTTCCAGCACTGATGCAGATTGTTTGGAATGTGTGCACCCTGTACGCCGCGTGACGACGACGCTGAAGGAGTTCGTCCATACTTGTAGTAAACAGAGCTTATGTGCACATATGGATGACTAATTTGCGGGTGGATCATGATTGGACTGAGGTCATGTCTGACCCAGATGAGTGGTTTTGTTTTCCTATCCACCCTGTCGATCCGCGTACGTACGTGCTTGCCTGTACACCCTAGATTTGCCAGTGTGATCATTGCATTAGTGCGATTCTTCTACCTTGCATTTACAACCCTTACTGATAGTTATTCAATGATTATTTATGAAAAGGCTCTCATTCTGATGCGTTTACCTCCTATTCAGTATAATGTTAGCGTCCATGTTCTGCGCAAAATGGATGACTTTTTACCGAAGTAGTCGAACCGATGGATTAAGGACCAAAATTGATGCCTCTTTATTAACTCGGAAAGATATTTTCAGTTTTGGGCTTGCATCAGTAGTTGATGTGATTCAACTAGCTAGCACTTGCACTCTTTGAACGTTGTTTTTGGTATTCTCTCACTGTTACTCTTAGCCTTGACAATTACCAATTTTTTAGTACAATGGGATCATTTGTGAGGTTGGAGCTAAGATGCTACGATAGATGCTCCTTATCTCAACTGTGCTGAAAGCAAGTGGTGGGTGTAGGCAAGTTTTCTAGGTGTAAAGTCGGGCGAGCTACATCCCAGAGACATTCTTTTTGATTAGTAGCTCTAAGCACTAGACGATGTTCTGAGACCTGTATATTCCACCCTGCCATTCATAATTCGTGAGAACACTGATCCACAAGCAAACCTCCTTTTGAAAGCATGTTCATCGGCGCTGGATCTCCCTTTTCCCTTCGTTGCCGTTTCGTTGTTTCCTGGATGGCCATCCGCATTATTATGCTCACCTTGCTACGCTGAGATATATCTGGTCTTCTAATGGCATGATTCAGGGGACTGTGCCAAACATTGGATGCAACTAGTTTTCCTTGACATCTGTTGCAGTTTTGTTTGAATGCTTCCCAAATTCTTTCCTTCAGACGCACTGGTTGTCAAGGCAATGGAAGATGGTGGAAGGGAGGACGTATACTTGACGGCGTTGCTGATAAGCCAGGCGGAGGAAAAAATGTCCACAAATGGAGAGAAAGATGACTATAGTGGTTGTGGTGGTGGCTGTAGCTCTGCTGTGGTATGTCTTCCCTTCCAATTGTACGCTGCATTTATCAGCTAGAATGTGCCCCTTACAATTGGTTGTACCCCTATCTTCACAGGTCAGTACAATAGGAGCTGTGTATGCGGCAACGAGAAAGCAATCCATATCACAACTTCGTCGCTGCGGCAGTTTAATGACACTGGTTGCTCTTCTACAGACCTTCACTGCCGACGTAGACTTCGCGACATTTAACTTGGAGGAGATTATGTCTCAAAGACTTCCCACACTGTGGCAATTTCTTTGGCTCGAACCCATCGCTATTTTGCGCCGGAGCTGTAGAAGCTCCGGTGCAGGTGGATTCACGGAGGATATCGAGTTTCTGCATCGACAACAAGCGCTGTCCCTATCCGAACAAAGTTAGTTAGAAGTCTGGAAGATGTCTGCCTACCTGTCTATTGAGATATCTGTTCCTATGTTTACTGTCTGTGTACACTCATCTATCTTTTCGTCATTTCGTTCAGCCTCCCCTTGCGGATCCATCCACCAACCTATCTATTCTAATTGGATTCACCCACTCTTTTCCACTCATCTATCAATTCACTCGCCTGCCTCGCCCTGATTCACTTACCTCACATTTTTTCATCCATCCATCTATTCATTCATACGTTCTGGAAACATTATTTTGTAAATTATTCTATCCACCTCTCTGTGTATCACTCAGTCACCAATTCATTTACTGAACTAGCCATCCATCCTATACCTCTTCTAGATACCCACGAAACAGCGGCTTCGGACGTAGAAGTGCTTTGTCGATCTCTCCATCTCCTACCAGCAGTTCTCTTTGTTGCATTGTCGCCTTCCACCAATACCACCACCAACACCACCACGATCGCAGCAACAGGACTTATCACCACGGGCCTAGTCGCTCTGACAATGTGTTGTCTTCGTGTGATCTCTGTGTCGTCGTCGTATTCGTCGTTGTTGCCACGCCTTCGCTTCACGGCAGCTCATACCCTCGCTGTCCTTGCCGCCTCCCACTTCACCCTCACCGTCACGGTTCTCAACAGCCTCCTCCTCTGCATCGTCTCTGCTGACACCATATCGGATGGTGACAGGGTGGCTGTTCTGGCAGCTGTCTATCGTATCCTTTTATTCATTCCTAATGGCTGCTTCGGCTTCAGTAGATGCAATTAAGTTTGTAAGGTGACAGTGCCTCGTCTCTAGTTTAGGGTTGGAAGTGAATGTTAGCTGCTATCAGACCCGTGCATCCGTGAAGATGTCTCAATGCAAGTAGTCTTAGTATTTGACCATGGAAAGGTATTGGGGATTAAGCTAGTTGTTTCAGTTGCAAATGCAGAGGTACATATCACCGTCGTTTGAGTCTGAGCATCACTCTTGAATTTGGAAATACGAGTTTCAAGAAATGCGATGTATATCTATATTTTGGCCTGCTTCCCTGCCACAGCATATGCGCACTTATTTCTGGTTGTGTGCGCTGGTCAGGTGTTTTGCTTGCTCTCCTCGTGTTTATCGAAATGGCTGATGTTCTGCGTGGTATGGAAACGATCAAAGTCAGTCAGAAGCGTCACCAAATGACATATGGCTAACCGTGTTGTGAAACTTTCACCATTCAAATGTGCAACTGCAGTGGGGTGTGCTATCGTTGTGCTGCATTGTACTTCAAGTATGTATTCACGGTTTCCAGTTTTGCATTTTCATCAACATGCTTCCAAGCGTGCACAGACACACCATCACTAATATCCGCTATCTTAGTTAACGATGACTGGACTGGATAAACTGACAGTCATGCGAATTATGCCAACATACCTTTTTTCAGGTCTTGTCAAATTGGAAGTCCCTTTTTAACTTGGATGATGCTGTCACAAACTCCTCACTTTGCTTTTTGAAGTTGTTCTCGCTGGCATTTCCGGTTATACTTCTGCGTTAACACAGCAGACAAATTAAATGAAATCATCTTCGCATCCCGGCGGGAAGGCACGCAAAGCCACCAATGGTGGTTTATTTCTGCTAGTTTTGATGGGGTTTATCTGACATATTGTCCATTGATATTGCATCGAGTGTGCTTATTAGAGATTTCTCCATAGGACCGGTGACTATTCTACCGTGAAGGAACTTCTTACCTTAATACTACTCCACCAGACTGGTTGCTTTAACACTGTTCCTGGTTACTCAAATATTCAATATGAGGTTGGTATTCTGTGTTTCTCTTTAATGTCATTCCTTTGTTCCGATTAAGTAGAATTCATCTGCCGTCTAGTCATCTGTTGAAGTTGCTATCAGCTTGTTGTGGTGCAGGGACAGGCTCGATCGTCATCACTCACTGCCCTCCCCCCACCACTGTTGCGAAAAGCCTTTCACAGGTGACTTTGACCGATTCCATCTGGATATCTCTTCGTTATTACCTGCCATTTGGTATATGACATGGTTGTTAAATATGTCAAGCAGTTCTCTTGGTCCTTCTGCTATGAGTTGCCATAGATTTGGTCATTCATTCAAGATGGTTTCGTCTTTTGAGCTTATGCGTCGCAACTAATCTTTTGAGGTGCCACTTAGGTCAGTCTCATTCTTCACGGGGTTGTAAGAGTGTCGGGCATCCCACCATGTTGCTACCGCTGCAGTCCCCAGGTGTGAGGTAAGGAAGGTACTACTTAGCAAGTGCATAATACCGATAGTTTCTGGTGATTTGCCGGTCTGTTGAAGATACCACTGGCAGAAGTGGAAGTGAAAGTGGAATGTGCCTCCCATCTTTCTTTGACCTCCACCACTAGACATCATTGATTGTATTCTGACTCCTCGACCCGAAAATCAAGTCCTCCTCAGTCTCCAAGTGGTGCCCTGTGACCGGCCTCTCTCACCACATCTTCACGGCATGGGTTTTAGGGAGGTTGGTGGCCTTTCCAATGCCGTTCCCGGATCGGCACAAACACCGACACCACTGCAATCCCTTCTAGCTTATGTTGTGGTAATGTTGACGTCCCTCGTTCTACCGCACTTTGCCGACACGCGGAGTGATGTGCGTCTCCTCGCCTCCAATGTCTTTACCAAACTCCTTGTCCTTCTGCCTCTCGAAGTAAGTGGTGATTTCTCATTATTCTTGACGGTTTTGGAAGTGGAAATATGTCGGCATTTTATGTTGAGATAGTAGGATCCAAGCTTTCCCGCTCCTGTTTCTATGCTTTCGGTCTTTTTTGCACCTCGGCGGATATTCAAGTATGTCCTAGACGTTGCTACTACTATCCACTCCTGTTAGTATCGACACTTTCCATTCTCAAGGAGTCCGCCCCAGATCCAGCCGGTCCTGGTCTTCCTCTGAGCCTGCGGATTGCGCGGGATAAGGGCCGTCACTTCGTTCAATGCCTGCTGCGTCCGAAGGACATTCGACTCTACGTGCCAGATAAAAATGTTCATGCGGTGCTGCGACCCTATCAGCAGGTACGTCTGTGGTGGACTCAGAATGGGCCGACCCTTGGGGGATATTCAGTGATCAAATTAGTCACTTTTTAGGCAAGTAGCGTGTTCTGTTAAATGTAGCGCCATGTCACCAGTGTGGAGGTCAAAGCGTGGGTCATTGCAAAGGTTACCATTAATATCCTTACATGGCACTATATTCTGTATGTTTCTGTGAGCTGAATAACGGAATGATCATACGTTGTCCTGAGAATCCACCAATCGAATTAATTTGTTTGTTCATTAACAGGAGGGCGTGAATTGGCTGCTCTTCCTCAAACAATACGGTCTGAATGGTATCCTGGCGGATGATTTGGGTCTGGGCAAGACCCTGCAGACTATCTGTGCTCTCGTGTCTCACCATGGTCGCAGTCGTCACGACCGTTCCCACGGCCGTCGCAAGTCAGCCACGAGGGACAGAGGTGGGGGCGTCTCGTTGGTGGTCTGTCCAGCCACTCTGTGCGCCCACTGGCACTCCGAGGTGACACGTTTCGTGCCTAACTCCCGATTGCTCGCACCCCTCGTCTATGTGGGCAATCTAGATCAGAGAGCAGCGTGCGTCCCACGTAGTTGCTTTTTTGCCTCCTCTGTTGGTGGACAGGCTGATGGATGGACGATTCTGTGGATGAATGATTGTAGAGATGGCTGAACGGGCGGTTTTATGGATGAATACATACGCGAATGGACTAATGATTGGGTGAATGGCTGATTTGAAGGGTTGTTGGATGAACGAATCAACGAATAAGTAGATTCATTCAATAGATGATTCAGTAGAATACCATCTCTGTGACATTGGACAGTTTATGTGGGCTAGCTAGCCAAATGAACCATTACGTCAGTGCGTAAGTAGGTTCATGGATGTGATGAGTGGTAAGTTGTTGAGTAGTTTGGTCTACTGACAGGTGAGTGAGTGTATGGATGGTCGGAGTTATGAATAGAATGGTCGATGGAGAGATGGACGATTGAATGGGTTAGCGGATGAATGACTTGATCAATGGATGTTCAGGTGAAAGGTTCGATTAATAAATAGGCCGGTGCGTAGACAGTGGTTTGGATAAATGGGCGACTTTTCAAACAAGCAATTGGAGAGATTAACAGTTGAACCTTCATACGGAATCGTAAGTGAATCAAATGACCTCCACGTCATGTGCATTTTGAATGACAGTCGATATGATGTGGGCATAATATTTTTTGCTGCTCTAATGTTTGAGAAATTTGTAGAGCTGATGACCCATTATCTAACTGTCCAGCTGTCTAGATGAACGATCGTACTGGTGGATAGGCTGGGGAATGGGTGGAAGATATATGAGTTAGGGTGCAACTGAACGGATGAACGGATACGCGGTCGTTTGAGTTTTCATTTCAGTGGTTGAATAAACGGTCTGTTGAGCTCTTGAGAGAGTTAATCAGTGGTTGAACAAATGTAATGGCAGATGATAATGCAGATGGTTTATAGTTTGATTGGATGGATGATTGGGTGCTTGAGTGGCTTATTGTTTGGAAGATGAAAGAGTAGTTTCGACAATGAGTAGATTACAGTTCTTTTTCGCCTTTCAGACTTCAGAAGAGCATTTTGGACCGCTGTAACCTTCTAATTACCACCTATGAAGTGATTCGAAGCGACATCGCATTTTTTCAGTGAGTGATGGTCCTCAACCTCTGTGTGTTTCCCGCTTTCTCATTCTCACGAGTTTGTTCGTATTTATCCTGCTTTCCTTCTCCTCGTCTCCCTGTAGGGAAACGTTTTGGGAGTACTTGATTCTCGATGAGGGGCACATCATCAAAAATGCCAAATCGAAGGTTGGTTGTACTGAATGTTTGCTTGTTGTTGCCTTTGCCAAATTGTGCCGCCATTCACTTTATGCTGGGTCAGTGATTGGGCGGAATGCGTCCTACCCATTGGAGATGACTTCCAAGTGCAAAATTCTTTTTCGTAGATTTTGTACTTTGAAGAATGCCCACAAAAACATTCTGGCTCCTTTCTTCAGAAATAATCTGGGCGCTTTTTTGTTTCTTGAATCGGACCCGTCTATGGTGGTGGTGTGAATTTCTTTCACATCCTTTTTGCGCGATAAGGGAAAGCCTCCCAGTCCATTTTCTCAATGTTTAAAACCAACAAATTTCGGAAGAATTTAGGCGGTGGTTATCGGCCAACCTCGATCTTGCATGTTCGTGCTTTCCACTTAAACCTCCCTGAGGCGGATTTCATAGCCAGCTAAAGCGTGAATTTGCAAAACTTGTGCAAGTTCCCCCTCCCCCTCCAAAACACCAATTGGGTGCATTTGAGAAGCGTTTCTACCAGTAGGAATCAGGGCTGAAAGGCAGCTCACTACGGCTGCCATTTCATAGATCTAATGTGGGTTTGAAAATACAAAATTGTCGGGCCTCCTGATCCGCCTTGATCCTTGAGCTAGGCTGACTTTGAGACTGCTTTAACCGCTTGGGTGTGGCTTACCTACGGATGTGGCGTTATCGCACTTACTTTTCATCCGTGGGTGTATGATCGGTGGAACAACTGAAGTCCTCGGTTTTTTTTCCAGGCAGTACGACATAGTGCCTCTTCTTGTGGTTTTTTCTCCGGGAAGATTTTATATGTAACGAAAAGTGTCCTTGTATCCACCTTGCTTCCGCTCTCCCATTCACCAGGCGGATCGTGAGATTGATTTTACCGACTAGACATGAATCATCACTATATAGCCATCACTGCCACTACTTTTGTTGACGTTCTCTTTGCACAAAGATTTCGTGCGCAGTGAAGAAGCTTCGTGCCCGCCACCGCCTCATCCTGACAGGCACGCCGGTGCAGAATCGGGTGGGTGAGTTGTGGTCTATCTTTGATTTCCTCATGCCCGGCTTCCTCGCTCCCTCGGAGGCCGCCTTCAATGCACGCTTCGCCCGCCCTCTCCTTGCCACACGCGAATCGAAGGCCAGTGCGCAGCTGCAGCGAGCAGGTGGGCACTTCTAGCCTAACAAATGTGGAAGAGTAAATTTGGTTGCCTTTTCGTTCGTATCAGTTGCGACAGTTTTTTTCTTTTATCGGGAATTTTGCATCTGAGTTAACTCTAAAGCTGTTGTGAAGCTGCGATGTGTACGAATGAGGATGGAAAGTGCTAACCGCCGACTGGCGGAGTTGCAAATTAAATGCAAAATAATCCTTCATAGTAAAGACTCTTGCCATCCTTAGTTCAGAGCGCAACGGGTGGTCACAACTTCTGCTTATTTATATCCTCTGTATGGCAGAATATTAACGGACCACAAAGAAAGCGCTAACATACGGTGGCAATTTCACATGGGAGAAATTTGACAGGAAAAGAGATTACTGAACTAGCAAACCTAGCATTTCCAAAATCTTGAAATAAATGCGTTATTTGGACTGCAAATGCTCCATAAGGCACATCAAGCAATCGCGTCTGCTGCTTGGGTCCTCGCAGGCGGTTTGATGGTGTCGATAGGGCAACAAGAACATGCATGTAGATTAGCAGTGTCCTCAATCCTGGTAATAAGGCATGACCCCATCGTGACCCGCCACGTCAGAAATTTACTTCGAGGTTTGTGGGTGAGGTCGGCAAAATCCAAAATGATCTGTCTTTGTTAAGGTTAGAAATTTGGATTGAAAAGCGGCCAGTCGATTCGCCCACCGACTGTGGAAGAGTAAAAATTGAGTTTAATTTTCATTGAAAGAGAGTGGTTCACTACAAGTGAGGAATTGTTAAGGTAATGAAAGGATTTCGCTCCTGGTGTTCGGGAACCGCATTCAGCTGTAGAAAAAGAGCTGGAAGGCCTAGGCAGTGTGGCTGAACCGTTATTGAACGGTGTGCTTCACTTTTCGTCGGCGGCGGTTAATGAGCTTGCCGCCAACCCAGGCTTTGTCGTACATAATTATATGATTTAGACAATTTTATCCCTCACTGGTGAAACCATTTTTCAATCCTTTGTGCAATACTCAGCTCTGCCTTGTTTATCAAGATCAGATGGGTGTCGTGGCGCTGAGTGTGTCGTGACCTATCGAAATGACGGATATTCTTGCTGGTAGATGACTGGGCTGTGTTTATTGTTGCTACAGGAAGACCGATCTCTTTGTCACTTCGCCACACGATAGACAACTTCACTAACTCCCGAATGCCAAGTGTCCTCATTAGATCTGAGCGTTTACTTTAAAAGCACGGATCTCTTGGTAATTATGAGTGTCATTATCACCGCACTGGCGGCTTAGAGACGAGGGGTCGTTTGAACACAGGAAAGGTTAAAGGAGAAATAAAGTGGCAGAAGAACTGCGTTCATTCTTGATCACCTGTGACCCCGGTCCTCCCCAAAGGGATGGCTACCTAGTTAAATCAAATTTCTCACTTTTATCTTTTCCACTTTGTGGAACATAATGTCAACAGACACCAAATCGGTGTCCCGGCAATTGAAACTGTTGAAAGTAGCTTCGCATTGTTGGTGTGTAGATGCTTTGAAAAATTGGTATCGGTGTGGCATGTGTAGAGGCTCACTGCCACCATCATGACTGACAAGGGCTTGTATACTATCCACGGAACAGAGGCAAGTGCCATTCTGTTGTGTGTCTTCCCTCTTATTTGGATCGGCGTCTTCGACAATGACCTTGATTACCACTGCACCGAATATAGCAACGCTGTTCGGAAAGTGGAGATGAATTGCTGGATGTGTGCAGTGGTGTTTCACCGCTGTGACAAGACCTGTGACCAGAACAATCATGTCACTTCTCGTGGTTTTCGATGGGATTGAACTGCAAGAACTTCATTGGGGGAACTTTTGCTGACTGTTATTCTAAGGTGACGGCATTACGCAGGAAAATATGAGCAAAAAGAATTTACCATTTCATGTAATTACGGTAGGTCGTGGCTCCGTGGATTTTGGTCCCTTTTGTGCTGTTTCCATCACCCAAGTGTCTATGAATTTGCGTCGTGTGTGGCTTGAAATAGAGCTTTCCTTTCATCAATCTTCGCATATTCAGTCATCCACAGCAGATGCCTTCTTTCTGTGCCATTCGGAGATCGGGTTCACCATCTCTGTCGCCCATGTGGCGTTCTAAATCATCTCTGGAGGCACAAGGCATGCCCAAGTCTTGAAGTAGCTTTGTTATGTACAGAAGGGCTGGAAGCTCCACGCTGCTGTCGCGGAGGTCCGTTCATACCCAGCGGAAACGCCTCGGAGTAGGAAATGGAATACCCCCTTATTGCACCAATCCCCTTTTTATCAACCGTGGCTTACAGACAGTCACTTTTTCATCATCCTTAGGCAATTTCGTTGTTTCGTTATAGGCCAGCAGGCGCTGGAGGAGCTGCATCGCATCGTGATGCCTTTCGTTCTGCGCCGCGTCAAAGAGGAGGTCCTGCAAGATCTCCCTCCCAAAGTCATTCAAGACTACCTCTGCAACATGACTCCCCTTCAGGTTAGGCTGACGCCTGTCAATTTTCGTTCCTGTCCTTTGTACTGGCTTATATTTTGCATGATTTGTGTTTGTATTTTAAAATGAATTCAGCCAAACAAACACCGAATGACTTTATTTGATCCAACTTTTAACAATTCAGGACCTATAACACTGCCGTCTGACTTCAGTAGTATCTTACGGTCTCTTGGATAGAAAGTAGTTTGAATTGATAACTGCATCCCTCGTTAGAAGTATCTGCTGGCTTCGAGATTCTTTCAATTTCTCTGATCCCTATGCTACCCGTTTCGGTAGGACCTTCAGACGTGCTTCAGATAGAGCTACCAGGCATTGCTGTAAGGCTGGTAATAAGCAGAATTGATTTGTTTTTTTTTTCTACTGTTTTAACAGACGAAACTCTACGAGACCTTTTCAAAAACACTCGAAGGACAGGAAGCGCTGAACTTGACCTTGGAACAATCTGCCTCCACTACGTGTGACGTAAAGGGGACCAGTGGAGGTTTTCGATCCATAAAGTACCTCTTGGCGGTTTGCAACCATCCTAGTCTGGCGCTTTCTCCCGAGCATCCTCTCTATGACTGGGCGTTGGAGCATTGCGCCGACAAAAGTGCTGGTCTGGACGACTTTCGTCTGTCAGGGAAGTTGATGGCACTAAGGTGGGTCATTCTCCTGCTAACCTGTATGCAAATAGCGTGTTTGGATTAGCAATACATGCGCTAAACTTTACCGAATTTTCGGCATTTGTTGATGTGGACTTCCATAAAGTCCATACAAATTGTTTAAAATTTCACTGAAACGAGATGCGACTAGGTATCTGAAGAACCGTTATGCAATCATCTCTTAATAAGTAGCATTCTTTTTCTGCGTCTTCCACTCCCTTTGC